CACTCGTGGGGTGGATGCTTCCTTCCCCTTCCCTTGCCCGCAGTAGCCCAGGGGGGTTGGAGGAGCTTTTAGGAGCGTGTCCCCTTCTTGCAGCAATGCTGCTGCCACCCATCACCTCCAGGCTCCCAAGGGCTGTGTGTGACCCAGGGATGAGGGACAGAGGGGTCAGCACCACCGGGCATGAGATACCCCAGGAGCAGGAGATGAGGACAACCCGCCCCCGGGGTGTATGAAGCTGGGGGGCAAGCGAGAGGCGAGTGCTAGTGCCAGGCTGGCCAGGGAGCCCACTTCTGACCTCGCAGCCAGTGCTGGCTCTGAACAACGTGGTGTGTCCTCCTGAGCAGGGGAACAGCCTTGCTTTGGAGCTCACTCCATGGTGTGGCAGACATCCCCATCCGCCCAGGGGTACGGGGACTGGGGGCCCTGGGGACGGTGGCAGTGGCTCTGCCGGCTGCCTGCGCTGATGGCTCTTCTCCCTGCCGCAGGCTCGAGCCTCCATGCAGGCAGAGATGGTCCTGAAGGAAGCAGAAGCGGAGCGTCAGCGCAAGCGCATCCTGGAGCTGGAGGACATGCAGGAGCGGCTCCAGGAGGCCCTGCAGCAGGAGGTGAAAGCACGGCAGGACGAGGAGTCTGTGAGATACGCACAGGCCAGGTAGGACCAGGGCATCCCTGCTCCTCCTTGGCCAGGGGCACGGGGACATGGTCCCCAGGGCAATGCAATGCTCCCTGGGGTACTGGAGTGTGCTGGTGACTTCCCAGTATGCCGACAGGGCTGGGGGAAGCTGGTGGATGAAGTGGCAGAGGGACGTCCTCACCTCTTCCTCTTTGTTGACAGGCTACTGGCTGAGGAAGAGGAGAAGCTGAAGCAGCTGATGAAGCTGAAGGAGGAGCAAGAGGAATATATCATCAAAACTCAGCGGGAGAAGCAAGTCCTCAAGCAGGAGATGGAGAGCAAGAACAAGTGTTTGGAAGAGGCGCAGAAGCAGCTGGAAGAAGTGAGAGTGAACAGGCAGCGGGTGGACCAAGATGTCATGGTGAGCGTCACATCAGTGCCACATCCTTCATGCTGCGAGCCCTGGGGGACTTCCCAGCCCTCCCTGAGTCACCTCCGCACCCTGGAGGACCCAGCAGCTTTGGGGGCCAAGCTGGCATTGCCTCGGGGGTTTGCTGAGCTGTGCCATGCGCGGGCATGGGGTCATTCAGTGGCTGAGAAGGGACAAGCGTGTCCTGGCCCAGGGGGACAGCACTGGTGTCCAGAGAGATGTTGGTGGTGGGAGCGTGTGGAGGGGGGAGGATTGGAGGAGGAGCAGACCTAGAGGGGGTTGAGCTGGGTCTCCATCCCAGAGGGAGCCTCCAGTCCAGGCTTAGGGAAGGGAAATTCCTGCCTGCAGTCCTGGGTCGGGGGCTGTTGGGCGGCCAGCTCACCCCTCTCCTCCGTCCCCTCCCAGGCGGCCCAGCGGAAGCTGCGACAGGCCAGCACCAACGTCAAGCACTGGAATGTCCAGATGAACCGACTGATGCACCCCATCGGGCCAGGAGGTAGGAGACCGGCCCTCGCACCCTCCCCTGCCCCTCCTGGCCACGAGCATGGCCATGCTGGGACATGAGCCCAGTCTCCCACCCATCTTCCCCTCTTTGGGGGCATCCGGGGGCTGGAAGGACCCCCATCTTTCAGAGAAAATACCCCAACACCTCTGGCAAGGAGAGACCCTGCACCCCTTTTCCTTAGCTGAAAGGTCAGTTTGGACCCCAGGTAAGCAATCCTCTTTTTCTGTCCGTCCCCAGACAAGCGCACGAACGTGAGCGGAGGAGGCTTCGCTGGCTACCAACCCCTCCTCTCCCAGAGAGATTCCTCCCTGAAACTCAAGCAGAAAGTGGAGGATAAAGGCAGTGACCCCACGAGAGAAAAGAGCAAGGAAAATGTGAGCAACGGTGGGAACAGCAGCATGCCACCACCTGCGGATGCGGATGCGGACACCATGGCCACAGAGCCCGCCAACTAGCCCGGCAGCATGGCAGAGCCCTGCGGGCAACTGCGGGGCCCAGCACGCCCCTTGGAGCGGACACAGTCAATACGGGCGTCTCTGGATGGAGACAAGTGGGGACCAGCACAGAGCCTGTAGGTGACTACAGGTACAGCAGAGAAGCTCCCGTTTTCTTCAGGGAAGGGCTGCAGCCACGACGTGCCAGGAGGCTCAGCCAGCCCAACACTGGGGAGAAGGCAGTGGGGCCATCTCCTCTGGGCTGCTCAGGTGTGGGATGTGGACTCAAATCCCCAGCCCCTCTTTTCCAACCTTCCTTAAAAAAAAAAAAAACCAAAACAAAACCAAAAACCAAGCCACCGGTGGGGCTGGAGCGCATGGTCCAGGGCCGCAGTTCCCTCTTGGTTTCTACCAGCAACCCTTCTGCATCACCCGCTGCGCCCCTGGGTGCGTGGCTCTACAACGGCGGCTGCCCCCGCAGAAAGGCCGGGGTGTCCTTAACTACCACGTGCATTCCCTGAAGGTGGTCGTTAGTCACTGGAGTCACGTAGATGTTAGCAGAAACCAACAGGCAATAAAGCTTTTGGAGCTGCTGGCCCGCAGCCCTCCTTCCCCACATATCTGTGGCCCTGCAGGCACCAAACCTCCCTCCTCAGCAGCGGGGGGGGTTCAGTTCCCGGCTGTAGAAAAGAGCCCGTCAAAAGAAATCAGACGCCACCCATGGAAAGAGGCTCCACCAGTGGATTTTCGGGTTGGTCTGCGGAGGGCAAAGAGGGACAGAGATCCTGGTGAACCAGCCACAGACAATGAACTCCCCTCTGGGTGGCAGGGCTGGCACGGGGGTATCTTCTGGGAGGGCCAACACTTCCTTAAGATTAATTAAGTGCTTACATAGGAAGGTAATGGTGCTCTGGGCTTTGTTTAGGTCTTTGCCCTTGGACTGCGGGACTCCCCATGCCAACACCAGGGTTAGTTTTTCCAAGCACTTCCGTTTAAATACAGTCCCATTCACCTGTGACTTTGGGGTCTTTATTGTACAGGGCACGGAGCCCCTCGTCACATACGGGTCCCCTCTGGAAAGAGGCGCCAGTAGCAAGCCCTGTACCAAACCCCAGTTCATGGTTGTCGCGCTGATTAACTGCAGTTCGTTAAGGAGATTACAATCTATTTCCTACTCACGAGGCTTTCAGCGTTTCCTCACCCAGCTCTTTCCCCCCCTCCCTCCCCAGTTTTTACAGCGTTTCTCTTTTACAATTATTTCTCATTGTGCCTGACTGCCAGAGAGGGCGTTTCCACGGGTGCCAGCGCAGCGGCGCGGCTGCCCTGGGACAAAGTGGCTCTGTGTGCCCATGAGGGTGACTGGGTGGCCCCGGTCCCACGCAGCCTCGCCGACGCACAGGGAGGGCACGGGTGGCTGCAGCCCTCATAGTGATGGCTGTGGTGGCCCTGCAGGGGCTGCAGGTCAAATTGATCACCTCTCCTCCTCTTCCCACCACACTGGGACGCAGCAGGGTGGTCCTGAGCAGCGGTGTGGCCACAACACACCCCATGTGGTCCCCACACAGATTTGGGGTCCCTACCTGGCCCTGTGCCATTCTGGCCAGTCCACTTGGACACAGGATACCTCCACTCCATGCCAGGGCTTCTGGTGGAGCGAGACCTTCCCAAGATACTGCGCTGGAGCATGGGGCTCTGTCTTTCATTGAGGTGGGGGGGGGCCGTGGTATGAATCGCTGCAGCCTCCCGGGGTGACCCTGGCAAAGCTGCTCGTTGCTCCCTGTGATCTGCAGGCAGAGCAAGAACAGGGAGGGTGCCAAACTGGTCTCTACTGGGAAGGAAATGGGCTGGGTGGAAATGCACTGATGGGAGACGGCATCCTCCCTCATCAGCTTCGTTAGCTCAATCTCGTCCCTGATCAGGCGTCAGGACAGGTACGTGCCACGCCACACCTAGGCAGGGAGGAAAAGGGCCACCACCTCCACCCATCCCTGTGGCTCCGTGCCACAGCCTGGTCACAAGGGCTCTCATCCTGTGCGCATCCCCCAGCACACGTGGGGCCACATCCCTGCCAGTGACAGCGTCATCGCTTTTCACCAGCTCCGGGGCTGCACCGTCCCCCCTTAAAGCAGCTCGCCAGAGCGTTGCTTTTGCTCCTGAGAGCTGAGTTCCCATGCGGCAAAAAGCTATCCATTAATTGCCACAGGCAAGGACAGGCGTGGAGGGAACAGCCGGAACCGGAGTCAGCACCTGCCTTTCATCTGGCGCCAAGTCTGGATGCGCCTGGATCTGTCTCATCCTCCCGGAGCGGCTGACCCAGGGCTGGAGCTTGCCGAAGTCAGCAGTTGATGTGCATCACCGGCGTGCGCCCGGGCACCTCCAGGAATAAACTCCTGCAGCAGGATCACAAGGAGAGCTCACAGAGGCGCTGGGGAAGAGCAGCTCTCTGCCGCTCCTATCCTCCCACCCCTGCACCAGCGTGCGAGGGTCCACACACCCAGGAGGGTAACGTCAGATGTGTGAGCATTTGCAGGGGCAGACACAAACCTCGATGCTCCCTATGTGAATCTTTTGCAGCCCCAAGCCTGCAGCTCTGCCCAAATTCCGCTATCCTGGTGCACTGGCTTGGGGTTCCACGTTTTCAGGGAATACAGGCCAAACTCTGGCTGCGGCTGCACCTGCATTAATGAGGGGCATCATCAGAGCTCTGTGCTGCTCCTTGAGTAACTGCAGTGGGAACAGGGCTTTTTAAACCTGATATCACGTACCACATTAGCCACCGCTGTGGTAAACCTAGGGCGTGAAGGTACAAAATTAGCTCCATCCTAGACCTCAAGTAACGGCATCAACAGCAGAAGGCTTGCAACGCCCACAGCAGGCAGCCGACCTAGCCCGGGGGGGGCAGAAAGCAGTGGGGGGCTCAGACTGGGAAGGGGAAGAGAGCCCCAGAGCTCCCACAGGCACCTCGAGTGGCGTGTCACGACGGTCCCACAGCATCCAACGAGATACTCAGTCCAGCAGAGCTGGTGTCAGCGGCTCTTTGGACCTCAAGTCCCAGTTTTGTTGCCCAAGACAAATCCATGGGCTGGAGCACACTGGTTACTGCCCGTCTCCTGCCCAGGGCTGCCTGGTGAGGGCTCGGTGGCACATGCCCGGCTTCATTTCTGGTCCTGCTGTCACCAAAATCAGGAATAAACCTCGTAACACCAACACAGTGTTAAAAGGCAGGCATGCTTTATTCACGGCGCCGGATGCACGGGGGATCGCTCCTCCAAGCGTGCATACTGCAGATTACATCAACCAAAACTTGCATTATCTGACTACATAAATACACATCAAATTTCCCAGAATAATCATACATACTCATCCTATTTCCAAGAACTAATTAGTATATTTACTTGGTCATTACACATGCGTCCTCACACTCCGAGGGGCTCCGTGGGGTCTCTGGTGGTCGTACAGGTATGTCCTTTAGTTGACCCCTTCTTATAGGCATGCACAGTATTACCTTTGTCGTGGTTTAACCCGGCTGGTAACTCAGCACCACGCAGCTGCTCGCTCACTCCCCCCTCCCTCAGTGGGATGTGGGACAGAATCGGGAAGGAAAAAAAAAAAAGTTAGAGCCATGGGCTGAGATAAAGACAGTTTAATAAGAAAAAATAATAGTAATAATGAGAATGGTAACAGAATATACAGAATATACAAAACGAATGATGCACAATGCAATTGCTCACCACCTGCTGACTGATGCCCGTCCCGTCCCGAGCAGCGATCATTCTGCCCGAGCTGTGATCCCTCTCCCCATGATCGACCGATTAACCCCCCCGAGCATGACATTCTACAGTATGGAATAGCTCTTTGGTCAGTTTGGGTTAGCAGTCCCAGCTGTGCCCCCTCCCAGCTTGTTATGCACCCTGGCCGAGCAGGAGAAGCTCAAAAAGTCCTTGAGTAGTCTGAGCACTACTTGGCAACAACTAAAACCATCAGTGTGTTATCAACATTCTTCTGGTACTAAATCCAAAACACAGCACTATGCTAGCTTCTGCGAAGAAAATTAACTCTATCCCAGCCGAAACCAGGACAACCTTGCTTATGAAACCTTGCTTTTCCTTCTTCATGGTGCACGGTCCCTAACAGCGTCCGGGATGCGACTGAGCACCCTTCCTAACTGCTCCTCGACCCGTTGTTGAGATGGACTGGGGGTATACTGGGCGCATGGCAGCACATCGTACTGGAACATAGCAACGCGTCCATAGATGTACCTCGCTTCTCTCTATGTATTGTTTCTAGAAAAGAACAAACACTGTTGGGCACGCTGCCGCAGCGAGTGCCTCTGGCCGAGCCGCTCTGCCCGTGACAGGGAGCCCAGTGCCGCCTCCGGGGCTTCCCTCTCCGAGACAGGGCCCCAGCTACAGCCACGAACCGGGCTGAC